AATGACTTGATGAAGAGAATGAACTTTATCTGTAGTTTTCATTTGTTTTGTTTTTTTTATCCTAAATTTTTGCCAGTCCTTGTGTTGGTCAAACTGTCTCTTTTAAGTTGTTATTTGAGATAGAGGCTGGATAGATTCATGCTGCTCTGAATTCCCTTGGACATTTTGACAGTTTTATTGGTTCCTGGAAAAGGGATGTGTGTGTTGTGTGTGTTATCATTTGGGAGTGAGTGAGTATGATGTGTGTATATTAGTATGGGTGTGTGTATAAGTGTGAGGCCTCAACACTTCTTCAAGCATGTCTGTTTTGTGTGGGTGAGAAATGTGGGTAGGGCCTGATTTGTGAAGTAATATATTAATTCTATCTATGTTGTTAAATTTGTGATTAAGCTCTTCTGGATGGACTGTTTTGAGGCACAGAATCCATTTACCTTCATCGTCCTCTAAAATTTTTCTAATGTTATCTGCTCTGAACTTTTCTATTTTCTCAATTATAGTGAATTTGGCATGGCTTTTAAAATTATGCTTTTCTAGAAGGAAATGTTGTTCTACAAGTAATAATCTTTCGTGGAGAGCAGACTTTATTCGATTGTGACAATTATTAATTTTGTAGTGAAAGGGCCATTCAGATTTTCCCACATATTGTTTCTGGCATAGTGTGCATTGTAGAAGGTAAATTATGTTATGACTTCTACAGTTAGTGTCTGGTAGATTTTGAAAGTAGATTTAGTGACTGAGAGCTAATGAATGAATTGGTGTGTTTAATGTTGTTACAGTATAAGCTGCTTTTGTTGTTACATGGTTGTGAAAATCCTGTTTTTTGTTTTGGGTTTATTACGGATTACTTTATCCTCTGAAATGTGGTTACTACCTATAATTTTTTTTTAGGTTGTTAGGTCTATGATATGCTAGAAGGCTGGGTTCCCCAAACAATTTTTTTTAGATGTTTGAGATGTAGTATTTCCCCAGTGACTTTTGATTATCTGGGATAGTGGAGGAAGAGTGGGGCTGAAAGTGGTTACTAGATGGATAGTCTAAATTTATTTTTAATTTTGTACATTAGAATGTCTTCTCTAGGTGTGGAAATTGCTTTATTTATTTGTTCCTTGATTAGGTGTTGTTTATAGCCACGTGTTGTGAATTGATGCTCGAGATTGTGTGTGCTTATTTAATTCTTCATTGTTGGAACATATCTTCCTGAGGATATGTTCCAACATTATATATATATATATATATATATATATTTGGATGAAAGAAATATTCATACATCTTGAATTTTTTTTATTTAACATAGATTTTATAAAATAATTTTATAATATATACAATATTTGTATACCATGGCATAATGCTGCAATATAAAAAAAAAATTCCCAAAAAATCTGTTATATTAATGAAATTTAAAAAAGGCAGAAAAGTAGTCATACAAAATTATAATAGCTATTTAATACTTTGTAGCATATCCTTTACTTAATTCAACAGCAGCCAGTCTCTTTCTGTAGCTTTTAATCAATGATTTATTTGTGAGTTTCCATTGGTATTTTACTCCATTCTTCTTTGCATATTCTCTTTAGGTCCAGGATGTTTTTTTTTTTTTTTTTTTTTTTAGAGATCTTTTATTAGTTTAAATTTTTAATAAAGACCACAAATTCTCTATTGGATTCAAGTCTGGAGACTATGATGGCCATTTGAGTATATTGACATTGTTTTCAATAAGCCATTTATTTGTAGATTTAGCCGTATGTTTAGGGTCATTATCTTGTTACCAAAACTCATTCATTTGGGAATCTAAGCTTCACTACTGACCCAAGCAAATTAGAGTCCAAAACATCTTGGTATATTTTTGAATTCATTCTACCATTTATTATCTCTAAATTACCCACACCATTAGTAGAAAAATATCCCTAAACCATGATATTCACCAATGGGATTGTGTTCTTTGGTGTAAAGGCTGTGCCGTCTTTTCTCCAAACATAAGTCCTTGAATTACGTCCAAATTGTTCAATTTTGCTTCATCTGTTCATAAAATACTTTTCCTAAATGATTCAAGTTTATTCTTATGCAGACAAACAAGTTCAAGATAATCGAATATAAATTAAATTACAGAACAATATAACATCAATAAGATATAAGCAGATTTGGGCATCTAATCAGTTTTAATTTCTCATATTTTATTATTATTATTATCACCATCATTAATAATAATAATAATAATAATTTAGTCAGCATATTTTCATTCAAACAGGTTTGGTTAAATAATTTAGACATATCATGTCGATTTAGTTTGGTTGTGATACTTTCAAGTTCACAGATTAATCTTCAAGGGGTTAAATTGTCTGTGAATGCGTAATTGTATTACTGTAAATGCAAAACATTTCAACTGTTTGTTTTACTGCATTAAGCAGTGTTCTAGATTTCAAATTCAAGATAGATGAGATTGAAAGTACTTGTGAAAATAAAAATTATTTTAAAGAAAATTTTGGTATTTTTCTTAATCAATTTTCTAAGGCTACCAAGAAATTAATCTGTGAACTTGAAAGGATCACAACCAAAATAAATCGACATGATGTGTCTGAGTTATTTAACCAAACCTGTTTGTGTGCGTATATATATATATATATATATATATATATATATATATATATATATGGGACACATTTTAAATGCAAGTTTCTTGGATAATAAAAATGGCAGTGCAGCATAGCTTATCAGCTGGAATGGCACTGTGTTTAAAATGAGAAAGTGAGTTTGTGCAAGTTCTCTTTATAATAGTGATCATTTCAGGGATGTAATATTCAAATCTTAGATAATAGGTTGAACTCTTTTATATCAGTTGTGTAATAAATATATTTGGTACTCTATGTCATTTTTAATCCAACATACTTGCATTTAAAATGTGTCCCATCATTATAGGACCTGTGTGTGCATCCATGGGTATGTGTAATTTTTAAACAATTAATTTTTTTATTACTATAAACATTATATATATATATATATATATATATATATATATACACACACACACACACACACACACACACACACATATATATATGTGTGTGTGTGTGTGTGTGTGTGTATGTATATGTATGTTTTTGATTAAACATTGTTTTTTTTTTGTTTTCAATCTCAAGGTTAATTTCACTGTTTTGTTTTTAAAAACAGTGAAATTAACCTAGAGATTGAAAGTCTTATTAAAGAAAATATGCCTCTCAATCTCTAGGCTGGTAGATATTAATTGATAGTTTAAAAAGTAAATTTAAAAAAAATAGATGTCTATTTAAAAATGTGCGCACATTAAATATAACATTTATAGTAATAAGAAATATATATTTGTCAATCAAGTCACTTCATATCTATAAATCAATTTGTGCATGCATGTGTGCATATCTATTAGTCATCCATTTCTATTTTCATTCAAACTCCCAAATCACACAATGTGCCCATTTTAATCATACATTGTACATAACACTAACTATTCTATCCCAAATTAACCAAAGTGTATTTATTTCTGTGCAAATTAGTTATGAGGGGCTCACAAAAGATTCTTGGCCTGACCAAAATGTCCTTAATAAAATAAATAAACATGTTCATGTGTGTGTCCATGTGAAATCCAAAGAAATAATGCTATCCAGTTGACCACACACTATTAGAATCAGTTAGAATACTGAAGAGAGTTCTGAAGTATTGAGAAGATTTGCTGCCACTTTATCTCTAGTAAAAGTCATCCATTAACAGGGATATGTAAATAATGTATAACAAAAGGCACACACCTTCACACTGTGCAACTACAACATGATATAAACAAGTATACATTCAACTAGTAAGCATCATCAAACAATTTGACTTGCCATCATGCCACAACTCAATATCCTGCCTCATATTTCCTAGCATATTTTCCTTAGTGCTTGGATTTCTCCACATGAAACTTAACAACACTGTGCTGCAAACATCACTGAATTTATTTATATATATATATATATATATATATATATATATATATATATAATATAAAGTAAATGTGAGGGCTGTTGCTACTAGTTCTGACCAAAAGGTGAGAGGGATACACATTCTACACATTGTAATTTACAAAAGATTCAATGTGCAAAACAGAAATCAAGAAAAATGTATGCTATAGACAACTATGCCTTAAATTATAACAGAAAGTCTTTATTTAATTTCCAAAATATGTGCTTAAATACAACACAGGACCAAGATCAGAATTCAGTTAAATTCAGTCACATTTTATTCAAAAAGTTTTTGTTCATGTTTTCATTGTGTTTTTATCAATGTCTGATACTTAAAAGACATGGTATGTGTATAATAGGTGGGTCAGAAGTAGTGTTACTGTATTTCGAAGCCCATAACACAATAATCTAAACCAATTTTGGAATTATGGAGATCCAATGGTAAAACTTGGACTGGAATATAAAATGATTTCCTTCTCCTGTGTTGGTATGTTATTGCCAGTGGTAATCAAACTGCTTTTAATATACAGAGATCAAAATTCAGAAGATTATTTTTAAAAATTTTAAGAGAAATTACTTTTTTTTTTATATCTACATTCCCAATTATATATTCTACACTATCAAAAGGACAATTTTTTAATAAAATTATATCTATGATATATAAACTGAAAGAATGGAGATGTGGAATTGGCTAAAAAGGTAACTAAGTGGGAAATGAAACAAACAAAACAGGTTCAAATCACAGCTGAAGTTGTTTGGATTTTTTTATCAATTGATTCCTTTTCTATGACTTATCAACCTTTTGCAGGTTATTCAAAGCTAGAAAATATTTTTAGAATGTAAGAATTTTTTTTAGAGATAATAATGATTTAGTGAAACGTCTAATAAACCCATAGCTTTGGGGAGAAGAAGGTGGATTCATACCTTTATCAAGGGTATTGACATATAAGTGAATATAACAAACCCAACTGAAATTAGAACTGGGCTCTCTGACAATTCCAAGCGATTATCCATCACACCACCAGCAAATACAAGCTTACAGAACCTGGTATTCCCAAGTGGTCACCCATCTAGGTACTGACCAGGCTTTATATTACTTAACCTTGGTGATCATAAGGGAACCTGTGGAGGGAGATGCGGCCATAAGCCTTGAAGTTGTTTGGGTTTAGCTCCCCTTTGAAAAAGAATAGACTGTATCTTTCCCAATTGTTCAGGCCAGAGATTACTCTGAGGCTAATAGTACCATGTAACCCAGTATAGTCTATTGTAAATTATTTGTAGAGACAATGGACACTACCATTATCCAGTGAAAGGAAGGGTCCATTGTTGTTAATAAATAATGAAGCGGTGCAGTTGAATTCATTTAATCCAAATTAGTCAATACTGGAAACATTCACTGCTAAATATAATTAAGTCGAAATACTATTTGATTGGCTTCTTTAGACATCAGAAAGATTATCATATTAAAGTGTGGTGACAACAAAAAAAATAGACGGCAAAATGACTATATCAGTCTCATGTGTGAATTGGCAAATATTTAAATAAAAGCCTCTGAACATCTTGTCTAAAAATTACCTGATAAAATACTTGGTTTCTGGTAATTCTTCTCAAAAGTTACAAAAACTATGATGAATGTATGTGTGATGAAAGTAAAATCACTAAAAATGGCAAAATTTAAGCAAAAATTTTTTTTAGATTTTTCTAATATGAAATTGTATATGAAATCACTGATACAAATATTATTACTACTTCCACCTTTGTTATGATAAGTATTGTTAATTTACATTTTTTTAATATTTTAGAAAAATTCTTGCAGTTTCTAACATTGAATAATTCTACCCCCAATGTATATTGATACTCTGAAAGACCAGACTTTCTTAAACTTCATTAACTACAGGTATTGCTATTTCTGATAATTCTGATTCCAAATAGGATTTTTTTTATTGTTATAATAATAAATACCCATAGAACAGTTAATATCATTATTTAAAATTATATTTTTATCTTTTAATGTCTTTCTCAGTTATGTGTTAAAGATTTTCAACTACCCTAGGATATCACATTGGTTTGGTTTTGTCAATCATTCTTTCTCTCTTATGATTGCTAAAAGAGGAAAATCAATTTGTCAATCAATATCTTGCAATAGAATCCTGGAGAGAACCTTACTAATAAGCAAGAGCTAAATAATCTCTATAAATTTGTATTTATGTGCATAAATTTATATAAGCGGCTGATGTAGAAGTTACGAGTGTCATTTGTTTTTGATTTTAAATCATTTCAGCAAAGGGTTACTGAGAGTGAAAGAAACACACAGGGCAATAAAAGAACAAAATTCAAGGAGACAGAAGATTACAAGTGATGTTTCATTTAAATGTTTGAGGATTAAATGTTTGAGGATTAAAGTTAATGGGAAAGCAACAAGTTTCACAAGTGAAAAGTGCAGGAGAAAAAACTATTTGTAGAAAACTTACAGTTTTAGCATTTTCAAGAGTAAAATTACGAGACCTAGCTACCAATCTAGTATGAATTGCCGGAACCTTGACAAACTGGTATTCCATAATATTTTTTAGTAAACAATTGTTTCAGCAAAGAAAAAAAAACAAAATGTAAAAAAAAAAAAATACAAAAAAACAATTACAATGAAGAAGATATCAAAGCCTACAGCAAACAATCACATGTAGCTGGTAAAACTTCTTCCACATGTGCTATATTCCCTACACTACTACTTCTCTGAAACAAACTAGAATATTATGATGATAAAATAAATAATACTTGAAAGATATAAAAATGTCATAGGAAATCAAGACAAACAGTTTAATGACTAAATAATAATTTCATGAATTTATATGAAAATAAATTGTCTATTAAAAAAATAGGCAAAGTTTAGCATACATATCACAAAAAAAATGGTATGTTCCTGACATTGCTTTTACTGTATACCCTCAACAATTTTTATTGTTTTAAAAAGCAATGATTAGAATTAATAAAATCTAAACATGAAGCTAAGCATTCTCTTTTCTCTTGAGAATTGGCAACAAAAGAAATAAACACTATTTTATTAGATTATTTATAAGAATAATTTTATATTTACAAGTTTATAAAACTGTGACTAACTACAAAATGATATTTATTTTTTAGCATTTTATAATGAAATAACTATAAAAACAAATTTATAAAAATGTCTGAAGAAAATACAAAAATTTAAAACACACAATGACAAATAATTGTAATTATAAATTTTGAAAAAAAAAAAAAATGCATTTTCCAGACTTTTCTTTCATATTCTCTCACCACATAAATTCACTAAAATAGGTGGCAAGCATCTGGATTTATACTTTAGTTCTCAAAAATTGACAACAAAAAAAAAGTTAAATACTATTTATTTATTATACAGTTTATTTACAAGAATAGTGTTTAATACTTTTGCAATCAATTCTTGAGAAAAAAAAAGAAATGCATAAATCATATTTGAGTTTTATTAAAATTGTAAAAATAGCTTTTTAAAACAATAAAAATTGATAAGGGAATATACAGTAATAGGGATGTGAATAGAAAAATTTCCTTTTAACAGACAGGTTTTGTTTTTGCTTTTTTTTTTTTGCAGGTATCTATGTTAAACTTAGCACCCCCACCCCAAATGCCATAAAACTTTTTAGAATACTGAAATACTGATATCTATAGATGATCATGTAATCAACGTTTTATAATACAAGACTCGTTTCCTGAAATACTAATATCTACGGACAGTCATGTCATCAACTTTTTCTAATACATGTATCATTTCCTGAAATACTAATATCTACAAATGGTCCCATAATCAACTTTTATAATACAGGGTGTTCCAGAAGTCTTGGGAACATTTCAAGTCCTCATATCTGCTGAACTATGAATGGTAGTAAGATGAAACTGGTACCATTTTAAAGCTAAATTCATTAAGTTTTTTGTAATGCTAATGATTTTTTTTCATATTTTTTCAGATCCAGTAATGGTGTTCACTCAACCAGAAAAGGCATTTTGTGTCCTTGAATTTGCAAAAACTGAATCATGGACATTTGTTCAATGTGCATTTCACACAAAATTCCGAAAAGAGGCACCAAAAAGGAAGTCCATATTGAGAGGGTATAGTAAATTCATGAAGGATGGGTGCTTGTGCCCAGCTAAGAGAACGGGACATACCTCAACTTTAGATGATACAATTGAGCAAGTTCAAACTGCCTTCAAGCGGAGCCCCTGTAAATCGATCAGAAGAGCCAGTAAGGAAATTCAGCTTCTTACAACAACTGTTTGGTGCATCTTAAAAAGACGACTACACATGACACCTTACAACAGTTGCAAGACTGATGAACCAACTGTTCATTACTTTTGCATTGCAATGCAAGAGAAGTTGGAAGATGACGGATTTGATGTGTGCCATGTGACCAACAGTGCTCACATTGAACATCTTTGAACATTCCATGTAAAACTTGAGATTAAATTCTTTCAGAATATATCAGGCACGTTTTTATATCCTTAATAGTTTTAGAGTTATTCAATGTCAAAATGTACCCAAGACTTTTGGAACACCCTGTAGAAGACTAGTTTCCTGAAATACTAATATCTACAAATAGTCAGGTAATAAACTTTTATAATACAAAACTAGTTTCTTGAAATACTGATATCTACAGATGGTCACATAATTAACTTTTTCTAGTACAAGAATCATTTCCTGAAATACTGATATCTACAGCCGGTCATGTAATGTCATAAAAACAATGACAAAATATAGTTATTTTATTGCTACTACTGCTCAATAAGGCAAAGAGCAGTTCACTGTTGTATTCATTCTGATCAACTCAATCTTTAGTTCCATTTATAAACTGATAGAGTTGTGAGTTGGGATGATAAAGCTGCCTTACTAGGATCTAATCTCAGTGTCTTTCTTGGGGAAAGAAGAAATGTCAAGGGAAAGGTGATGTTAAGTGATTACCCCATGGTACCTTTGGGGAATAATTGACAATAAGCTTCTTTTTTTTTTTTTACATGAACACATTCTTGAATAACCTACAGGAGGCAATTAAAATAATGAGGTGTCCATAGGGCTATTGAGCATTGGGATTGGGGAGGAAGGAGAGAGACACCCCCCCCCCCGACAATTCCAAAATGTTTGAAAAAAATTTTCTAGAAAAACATTACTTCAATCCCAAAGTGGTGCTTCATGATTTTTTTAATCAGTCATTTTAATTCTATAAACAAAAGATTAGCATTAAAAGATTTGTAAAAAAAAATAGACAAACTATACACAAAGCTATAAGTTTGAGGTGCGTGTGTATGTGTGTGTATGTATGTATATATATATATATATATATATACAAAAATAAATAAATAATGTACAGACACACATAACTGTAATGAGTCAATTGACAATCTATCAGTAATATAAAAAATGCCTCAATTACTATACAAACTTTCACCTTATTTTCTTTCTCTTGCTTTGTTATATTTAACAGCATAAGAGACATTCATTAGGAAACAACACTAATCTAGCAACATACCTAAATAAATGAATAAAATTTGTATATCTGGAGACACAAATAAGCTAAGCATAACTTAGGGTATACAACTTATAAATTTGAATGATTAAAAAAGCTGATCAATAATCAAAACTGAAATTTCATCAAACATTTATCATAATTCATGTAGAAGGAAAAAAAAATCTTTGCAATCATTTCTGTAAAAGCTAACTTCAATAATTTTTTTCTGAATTTTTGGAATGAGGAGTTATTTATATTCAGACCATTGTCCTCATCTTTGTTGTTGCTGCTATCATAACGTTTTGGCCATTGTGCCCTCTGGCTTTCCTCAGGTGTATATATCAAGCTGTATAAGCTACAAGAAATTCTGAACTGAACCCTTTATTTAATCTACACGGGTAGACTGTTCTCATTCCACTGCTCATGTCTAGGGATATTTTCTCTCTTTTTTTTTTTTTATTTTTATTTAATACTGTTTAGTTATTGCTGGAGTAAACTTAAGTTTACTCCAGCAATTTGTCCTCTGGGATGATAGTGCAGTGGGTAAACACATTGCTTTGTGAATTTGGTGACAGAGTGGTTGTGAGTTCAATCCTGGGTCAGGCAGTGTGTATTCAG